TTTTTGAGCAGTAGGTCTCAACAGTGGACTTAAAATATTTACTAAACCAAGTTGTATACAGATAGGCTCTCATCCAGGCTTTGTTTTTCCATTTACAGAGCACAGGCACAGTAGATTTAGCCTAATTCTTAAGGACCCTAGGATTTTCAGAATAGTCAATGAACACTGGCTTCAACATAAAGGCCCCAGCCACATTAACAAGAGAGACAACTGTCCTTCGGAACTTTGAAGCCAGGCACTGACTTCTCTCTAGCTATGAAAGTCCTAGATGGCATCTTCTTCCAACACAGGACTGTTTCATCTACATTGAAAATCTGCTGGGTAGCGTAGCCACCTTCGTTAGTTGTCTTAGAGAGATCTTCTGGCTAATTTGCTGCAGCTTCTACAACCACACTTGATGCTTCACTTTGTACTTTATGTTATGAAGATGGCTTCTTAAACTTCCTGAACCAACCTCGGCTAGCTTCTAACTTTTCTTCTGCAACTTCCTCATCTCTCTCAGCCTTCACAGAATTAAAGAGTTAGGACCTTGCTCTGGATTAGGCTTTGGGTTAAGGGAGTGCTGTAGCTGCTTTGATCTTCTATTCACACCACTAAACTTTCCCCATATCAGCAATAGGGCAATCAATGTGTTCACTGAATCAACAGTTTTTGGGGTTTTTTTGACGTTTATTTTTGAGAGAGAGAGAGAGAGAGAGAGAGACACACAGTGACAGTCCCAAGCAGGCTCCACCCTATCAGTGCGAAGCCCAACACAGAGCTCAGTCACATGAACCTTTGAGATTATGACCTGAACCAGAAGACCTGGACGCTTAACCAACTGAGTCATCAAGGCGCCCCTAGAGCAGCACTATCAATTTTCTTCAAGAACTTTCCTTTGCATTCAAAATTTGGCTAACTGGTGCAAGAGATCTAGCTTTCTGCCTATCTCAGCTTCCAAAATGTCTTCCTCACTCAGCTTCATCATTTCTAGCTTTTAATTTAAAGTGAGACGGGGTGCCTGGATGGCTTAGTCGGTTAAGCGTCCGACTTTCGCTTAGATCATGATCTCACAGTTCATGGGTTCGAGCCCCGCATCGGGCTCTGTGCTGACTGCCAGCTCAGAGCCTGGAGCCTGTTTCAGTCTGTGACTCCCTCTCTCTTTGACCCTCCCCTGCTCATGCGGCCTCTCTCTCTCTCCTAGAAATAAATAAAACATTAAAAAAAAATTAATTTAAAGTGAGAGATGTGCAACTCTTCCTTTCATACAAACACTTGGGAGACCACTGTAGGGTTATTGACTGGCCTAATTTCAATGTTGTTGTGTCTCAGGGAATAGGGAAGTCTAAAAAACGCCAAGAGATGCGGGAACAGCCTACTGGTGAAACAGTCAGAACACACACAACATTTATCAATTAAGTTCACCGTCTTTTTTTTTTTTTAATTTTTTTTTAATGCTTTTTATTTATTTCTAGGAGAAAGAGACAGCGTGAGCAGGGGAGGGTCAGAGAGAGAGGGAGTCACAGATTGAAACAGGCTCCAGGCTCTGAGCTGGCAGTCAGCACAGAGCCCGACGCGGGGCTCAAATTCACGAACCGCGAGGTCATGACCCAAGCGAAAGTCGGACGCTTAACCGACTAAGCCACCCAGGCGCCCCTTAAGTTCACCGTCTTATATGGACACAGTTCATGATGCGCCAAAACAATTATAAATGTAACATCAAAGACCACTGATTGCACATCAGCATAACAAAAATAACAGTAATAATAATGAAAAAGTTTGAACTATTGTGAGAATTACCAAAATGTGACACAGAGACACAAAGTGAGCAAATGCTGTTGGAAAAAATGGCACCAATGGACTTGCCTGAGGCAGGGTCACCACAAACCTTAAATTTGTAAAAAACACAGTATCAGCAAGGCATACCATCATAAAATAAGGTATGCTTGTATAGGTTTTTGAAAACTCTTGCTATAGTTTTCCTAAGCAACCTAGATACTATTGAATGATTTGTTAAAGGTGCCTTATATGAAATGTCTGCAAATATTATATAAAAAATCCATAAAGTATTAGATTGAAAGGAAAATCAAGTAATGATAAACAGAATGGAACAGGAGAAACCAAAAATTTACTTTTACTATAATTTTTACTTAGTTTATTTATTTTGGGGGGGAGAGGAGAGAGCTCAAGTGGGGAAGGGACAGAGAGAGAGGGAGATCCAGAATCCTAAAAAGGATCCACACCACCAGTGCAGAGACTGATGTGGGGCTCGAACTCATGAACTGTGAGAGCATGACCTGAGCCAAAGTTGGGTACTTAACCAACTGAACCTCACAGGCATTCCACTATAATCCTTTATATTAAGGAAAGTGTTTAAGGTTTAATAAAGGATAATTATTCATAAGTTAGAGTATATGTATAATCCTGTGGTATTAAGCTACCTTAAGGAAATTAAAGGTTACTCTATTAAGACACAAACTTATTGGGCTTTGATTACAAAAAGTGTTAAATATTATTTTGGGAAGGTGGAAGAGAAGCAGAGCTCATCAAAATGGTTAACAGAAGACAGAAATGTGCTCTGGGGCACCTGGGGGGCTCAGCTGGCTGAGTGTCCAACTCTTGATTTCAGCTCAGGTCATGATCCCAGGGTTGTGCAATTGAGCCCCACCTCAGGCACTGTGCTGAGTGTGAAGCCTGCTTAAGATTGTCTCTCTCTCTCTCCCTCTGCCCCCTCCCCTACTTGCATGTGCTCTCTCAACCAGCTGAGCCACCTTACTCTTGATTTTGGTTAACGTCATGAGCCACCTTGGCACCCCTGTCATTCCCTCTTTAAAAAAAAAAAAAAGTGGCTAGTTGAGTTTGCAACTCAAACCCAGGAGCTTTTCCTCCAGACAAATACCATAATTCATTATGCAGAAATACTTCATGAATACTTCCCATTAATCACAGAATATTAAAAAATGTAAGTATGTATACTCAAGGATTGAGATTTAATAAAATCAGTCATAATCAAAAATGAATTAAGGGAGGGGCACCTGGGTGGCTCAGATGGTTGAGCAACTGACTCTTGGCTTTGGCTTGGGTTCAAGCCCCGAGTCAAGCTCTGCATTGATGGCATGGAGCCTGCTTGGGATTCTCTCTCCTCTCTCTACCTGTGCCCTGCAAAATAGATAAACTTTTTTTTTTTTTTAAATAATTGAGAAAATTAATTAAGGGAGCCTATGGTTGTCAAGGAAAATAACTGACAGTATTTGTTATCAATGTTAAAATTTGAGCTTTCAAGAAAGTGAAAATGAGAATTGTATCCATCCCCATGAACTTGGTAGCTTTGTCCCCATGAACTGATAAGACTGGTGATATTAATAAATGTTATTTGGAAGATCTGCTTGTATCAGTCAGCCAGCATTTTTCAAATGACCAATATATGATGTTAAAAAACCAGTGCTGGGTAAAAATCTCATTCACAGTTCAAGATAGATCAATGAGATTTTAATTTAATAGACTGGGAAAAGTTCACTGATGTAGTTTCGGATTCCATATCACAATAGCCTTTGAGTAACCACTTGCTGAATTTTAGTAAAATACCAAAGAATATCCACAATAATCTGAAAAGGCTATCAACATACTATCTCTTCCAGTGATTTATCTGTATGAGGCCAGGTTTTCTTTATAGATTTCAACTAAAAAAAACATACTACAAATGATTAAATACAAAAGCAAGTAGATACAATCCAGCTGCCTTCTAATAAGCTGGACATTAGATTTTCAAAAAATGTAAACCAATGCTCATTCTCTCACTAAATTTTTTGAAATATAATTTTTCATAAAAACATTATCTTAGCATGTAATTAATGTATTATTTTAAGTAAGAAGTACTTTTAAAATTTTCTCAGTTTTAAGTTCTAACACAGTAAAAATATTGAACAATACAGCCTACATAAACAAAACCTGTTTGGGGTTATTTTAAGAGGGTAAAAGGATTTTATCCCCCAGGCATAATTTATTTTTGCACAGCATAAACTAGAATCAGGAGGTAAAAAATTAAGACTCAATAGTGCAGCATTTGTGGCAGGAGGGATTCTGAAACCAAAGAGTTTGAGAACTGCTGGCACCAGCATCATAATAAAAACCAAATACGGATTTACCCAAGTGTTAAATATTATTTGGGGAAGGTGGAAGAGAAGCAGAGCCCATCAAAATGGTTAACAAAAGACAGAAATGTGCTCTGGGGCACCTGGGGGGCTCAGGTGGCTGAGTGTCCAACTCTTGATTTCAGCTCAGGTCATGATCCCAGGGTTGTGCAATTGAGCCCCACCTCAGGCACTGTGCTGAGTGTGAAGCCTGCTTAAGATTGTCTCTCTCTCTCTCCCTCTGCCCCCTCCCCTACTTGCATGTGCTCTCTCTCTAAAGTAAAAAAAAAAAAAAAAAAAAAAATTTTAAGTGAAATAAAAAAAGCCAGAGATACTGTCTTCTTCACCTCTGTACCCGCACAAGGCCTCATCACAGCCTGTAAGTATTTAGTAATCATTTAACTCAATGAATGCATAAAGGAATGAGATAACCCAGTTCACAAAATTAGGTCACATTAGAGCAAATAGCTGTTTCTTTCATTTTTAAAACTTCTGCAACAGTACTGGAAAATCATGTTTGAAACTTCAATGAGCGATCACTCAGTGTATTCTCAACTCAGTGATTCTATGACTCGGAGACCACTATTCATTATGTAAATATACAAGAAACCGTATATATAAAAGGTTACACACACACCTCTGTTTTCTTACCTGTTGTAACTTACAACAAATACTCTTGAATTTCAATAAATACGATTTTTTTTTTCTCTCTCCCCTATTTTCCTCCATTCCCCTGGCTTTCAATCTCCATTGACTTCTACAACCCTTTAGGTCCTTCTGGATTACACCTCACTTTTGTGTATCATCATGCATCTTTAGGTTAGCATGACCAACAGAAGACACTGAGCAGTTCCCAGAACCTACAGAGACACCAAACAAAAAAAATCTTACCAATAGTATGATTCCCATAAAGGAGCTGCTCCAAAATAGCTGTTTTTCCCACAGATAACAAGCCACAAACCACAACCTTGCAGCCCTTTCCCATCTTCTCTCGGGAGATCACTGTGAAGAGAACAGAAGATCTATGAAACTGTATACTATTTAAATCAATCTTTTTTCTTTCTATGTTTAAATAAGTCATACATGCAGGGGGGAATTTCAAAAATAAAAAAGTATATATATATACACACACACATACATATATACACACACAATATATTCTTCCAAACCCCATTCCTAGTCTCCCATTTGCTCCTTTACAACAGTTAACAGTTTCTTACATATTTTTGCAGAGCTAATCTAGATTAACATAAGAATACGTGTGGTGGGGCATCTGGGTGGCTTAGTCGGTTAAGCGTCCGACTTTCGCTTAGGTCATGATCTTGCGGATCGTGGGTTCGAGCCCCGCGTCGGGCTCTGTGCTGACTGCCAGCTCAGAGCCTGGAGCCTATTTCAGTCTGTGACTCCCTCTCTCTCTGACCCTCCCCTGCTCATACTGTCTCTCTCTCTCTCCTAGAAATAAATAAAACGTTAAAAAAAAATTAAAAAAAAAAAAAAAGAATACGTGTGGATATAAATACACATTTATTTTTAAAAAATCCACATTTTGTACAAAGAATATGTCCACACTGATTAAGTCTATAGGAATCTGAATCAAACCCTAGATGGAACCAATCTTTGAAAAATACTGCCTGCTCTTCAAAAATCAACATTTCAGCAAAACTTTAAGGAGGCATGAAGACAAAAATTTGGATAGAGAATAAGCCTTATTTCTGGGGGAAACATTAATGCTATTCATTCCATCAGTTTTGAGGAGAGTGAGAAACTGGATTTTGGTAGCCACACGGGCTCTCTTAGTCATACTACTTTTTCAGTCATGCTTCCTAACGTTAGAAAAATTGCTCACTTTAAACAAGAAAGAAAATGAAAACTCCTTTCTCCAAGCTTAACATATCCAAAGAAACAGCAATATCAGGTAACATTTTCTTCATTTTCCTCAAAGCTTTTATTTCCCAGAAGTCAAGGCATTAGAAGCCAGGGTAGAGGGGGAAAAACAGTTCACTGAATACAACAGAATAACTTTAGAAAGGAATTAAAATTTCCACATTGCCTTTTGCCATCTCTACCACCTTCTTATTTTCCCCAATTCTCTTAAGTAGTATAGAACATGCAGCAACTCTTACTGAAAGGGATGCCACAACTCCTTCAAGTCAGAAACAACTAAACCAAGAAAGTACAGGTAAGCATTCAAAGGGTTGGCCAGGTACCTTTCTGTCTATCTGTGTGTGTTGTACACCACTATTGTGTGTGTGTTGTTATTGTTTTTTAATCAACACCCAAAATATTAACCAACAAATGAACTTCCTGTAACTCTTCTGTTTTCTCAAGTCTATAATATTTTATAGCCCAAATCAGCCACAGTACTAATCTGCTGACAGGAAAAATTTTAATGCTACCATTACTGCAGCACAGTAATAACACAGCGCTCATTTCCAGAGCAGTATATTACATTTTACCAGTAGAGAAATAATCATCACTTATGTAATACAGCCATTATTTCCTAGGTGGCATGCTTGGGATCCTTCCAAATCTTCCCAAGAATATTTATCACTTGTTTCTACAAGAACTATGTCTCTTAAGGCACTTTTTTTTTTTTAAATCTTTATTTATTTTGAGGTGGGGAGGACGAGGGGGGAGGGACAAAAAAGAGAAGATGACAGAGAACCCCAAGCAGGCTCCCTGCTGTCAGTGCAGAGTCTGACGTGGGGCTTGAATTTAAGACCCCAAGATCACAAACTGCATGCTCTACCAAGTAAGCCAGCCAGATGCCCCCTCCCTTTTTTTTTTTATGTTTTCAACATAACTGCAATGGAAAAATTCTCGGCCTTATTTGTAAGGGGAGAGCTTTGTATCTCTGATCATCTATGGTATGATATCTCCTATGTCAGCAAATATAGTCTATTGTAAAATGTTTTCTACACATACTTGTGAATTTGATTAATCTAATGTCATCTCATTTATCACAGAATTCTACACTTTTCTGCATATTGTAGTCTCGTGTAAGTTATGATACCACTGAATCTTTAAGGTTTTTAAAAAAAGGTTTTTCATGGTAATAGTGAAAATTTAAAGGGTGTTGCCACTTAACCATATGCCACCCAAAGGGTGAAAAATAAATCAGTCAGAGGTTAAGAAAAATATGATAGCAGAGAACAATTCTGTTTTCAGAAAAGGTTGCTGATGGAATCTAAATTCTAATTTTTCTATTATTATTTCCCTTCCTCTAAAAATATCTCAGGCCACATAGAATTTCTAAACACCAATACTTCTCTTCCTGTTCAATAAAAAAATGTCCCTATATCACACATTATATCAATCTTCAAAAAAATACAAGTTTTTTAAAAGGGCAGGTACATATTGTGGTTAAGTGAACCAGGCAGTTAAAAGGAAAAAAAATGATTATTAATAGCAACAGACTCCCCTCCACCCCCCCCATTCTGTAAAAGAGAGGCAAATATGAGTTCTGGGAACTGCAGCAAACTGGGGAAATGCTGAAACCAACAGAATCCTGAGAAATTCATAAATCAAATATTCCAGTCTTTGGCTGTGGTCTTAATATAGCTGCTTTAATTTTTTTTTAATGTTTATTTTTGAGAGAGAAAGAGACAGATCATTAGCCGGGGAGGGACAGAAAGAGAGTGGGAGACACAGAATCTGCAGCAGGCTCCAGGCTCTGAGCTGTCAGCACAAACTAGCAGTGCTTAAACTCAAGAACAAGGAAATGGTAACCTGAGCTGAAGTTGGACACTTAACCGACTGAGCCACCCAGGCACCCCAATATATTGGCGTTAGAAGTGGTATACTACAGGGGCACCTGGGTGGCTCAGTCGGTTAAGTGTCCGACTTTGGCTCAGGTCATGATCTCACGGGTTCGTGGGTTCAGGCCCCACGTCGGGCTCTGTGTTGACAGCCAGCTCAGAGCCTGAAGCTTGTTTCGGATTCTGTCTCCCCCTTTCTCGGACCCTCCCCTGCTCACACTGTCTCTCTCTCTCAGAAATAAATAAAAACATTAAAAAAAATTTTTTTAAACGTGATATACTACAATTGTACTTTGATCACTCACTGATATTAGGATTAACAGATGACATATGTTAAAAATACACATTACTTTGAATTTGTGTCTATGTCAGAATAAATAAACTGCAGGAGTTGTTTTGGTATATCAGAGAAGTTCCAACAAGGGCAAACAGTACAAATAACTGAACAGAAGTTACTCAATCACGAGGTAAGGATTTTAAGGTATTTTACAAGGAAAGAAACAAGATAAAACAGAATAAACAATGTTAAATATTTTTTACCATCAAAAACAAAAATGAAAGAATAAATGTGATTAATCAAAGCACAGCTGATACATTCTACGTTCTTCAAGTGGAAAACAATAACACTACCCAAAGCTGAAGATTAGTGACCTCCTACCAGCAATTCAAGTATGAATTAAAAAAAAAAATTATGTAAGATTTTGAATCAATAACATTAAACATTCATGCAAAACACTTTATTTTCTACATATGACCATGACAGTGGGGACTTACATTACATGTACGGAAGTAGTTCTCACACTTTCATGTACTCAGATTTACAAGTGAAAAACTACTAGCAGCTTAGTTCTATAAGTATTATAATGTATCACAATTCCCAAACATAGTAAGTATGCACCATTTCCTTCCAACACAAAAAGGAGTTCATCTGCAGGACCCTGAATTGACACTGAATCACATGAATAGATCCTGGAGGTGGCCAAGCCTCTTTTGTAAATACAGCTTTGAAGAGTTTGAAAGGCTCCAGAATAGATGGATGACCATTAAGGTTCCTTTCAACATTCTGAAGCTATGACAGTAGAAACTGCTTACCCAGACACTGCATCTGAGATTATTAATACTGAGATTCATACAAAAACACTAGTTAGACTACTTGGTACAGTCCACACTATAAGTAACTGCTGGACAATAAAATTTCATCTGTGACCTATTCATCTTCATCTAATATAAATGAATGGAGAGAACGTGCCTAACAGGGAAAATTCAATGCAGTCTCAACTACATATTGCTTTGCTTCCCAGGCTAATCAATAATGTTGCCAGAGAATAAAAACATGACCTGATCCATTCCTGTGGAAAACACGGAGCTTGGTCAATATTCCTTTAACGACCTATCAGAAATCACTGCGCCAAACTGTCAGTACTTCTGTTTTTCTAAGGAAATCATTCTACTTTTTTTTTTTAATTTTTTAATGTTTTATTTATTTCTAGAAGAGAGAGAGAGAGACACAGTGTGAGCAGGGGAGGGTCAGAGAGAGAGGGAGCCAGACTCCGAAATAGGCTCCAGGCTCCGAGCTGGCAGTCAGCACAGAGCCCGACGCGGGGCTCGAACCCACGAACCGCGAGATCAAGACCCAAGCGAAAGTCGGACGCCCAACCGACTAAGCCACCCAGGCGCCCCGAAATCATTCTACTTTTATAAGAAAAACGCAACACTGTTTATGCTATCAAAACAATATTAATACTGAAACACTTAACATAATAGAGAGATGTTATAGATCATATCATGAAGCTTGGTGTGGAGAAAACATCTACACTTTTTATTTATGCAAACATCATGTACTGTAACACTTTTACTTATTCAGATACGAATACATTTCACGTAAACATACATTAAAAAGTTTTGTAAATATTGCACACAATAAAACAAGCAGATTCCAGCCTATCCTTCTTTTATTCATTCAGTAAATATTTACTGAACTCTTACCATAATGCCAGGCAGGAGGGACAAACTAGGGGGCAAAATCAGAAATGATACCTGCCCTCAGGAATTTCAAAATCAATTGGAAATACCAGTCCAACTCTTGCAAAACTGCTGAGAAACTGCAAACTAAGAAACAAAACTCCAAAAACTAATTAAGGAATTAGCGATTATTTGCATTGCCAGAACTTCTTTCCAAATGATTCAACCAACTTTGTAGTCTCTTTTTTAATTAATCTCTATACCCAACATGGGGCTCAAACTCCTGACCATGTGATCAAGAGTCACATGCTCTATGGACTGAGCCCCTTTCTTATTTTTATTTTTTAATTAATTTTTTATAATCAGTTATTCTTTAAGTTTATTTATTTTGAGACAAAGAAAGTACACGGGGGGGGGGGGGGGGAGAGGGAATGAATCCCAAGCAGGCTCCTCACTCTCAGTGCAGACCCTGATTGTGGGGTTCAAATCCACAAACAGTGAAGTCACGACCTGAGCCAAAGTCAGATGCTTAATTGACTGAGCCACCCAGACTCCTATAATCAGTCATTCTTGACTTATTTTTCTCATATCCCACATCTGCTCCATCAGTAAATCCTCTACCTTTGAAACACATGCAGGACTGGACTACTTACCACCTCCACCACTAATGAGTGGTCAGAGGCACCAGCTTCTCACCTGGTTTCTCAAAGATGGCCATGTCATAATTCCCAACACCTGTATTTTATTTTACACAGTAAAAGGAACTTTGTGGCCATGATTAAATTAAGAACCTTAAAATGGGAGAGATTATCCTGGATTATCTAGGTGTACCCAATATAATCACCTGTCTTTTAATGGGGAGAGAAGTTTGTCAGAGAGAGAATAGATGTGAAGATGCTATCCTGCTGGCTTTGAAAATGAAGGGGTCAGGAGCCAAGGAACACAGGTGGCCCTTAAAAGCTGGAAAATATAGACAAATGGATTCTCTGCTAGTTTCTCTAAAAGGAACACAGCAGCGCACCTAGGTGGCTCAGTCCCTTAAGCCTTCTCTAGGCTCTTGATTTCCCCTCAGATCAAAATCTCAGGGGTTATGAGATAGAGCCCTGGGCGATTGAGCCCCTGCACTGGGCTCTGCTCTGACAGTGTGGGATTCTCCCTCATCCTCTCCCTCCCCTCCTCCCATTCGTGTATGCTATCTTTCAGAATAAACTTTTTTAAAAAAATACATAAAAGGAACACAGCAATCCGGTTTTAGCCTACGGAGATTTCTGACCTGTGTAAAACAGATGTGTGTTGTTTTAAGCCAGTAAATTTGCTGTAATTAGCAAAAAGAAACTAATACAACCTCCTAGCCTCTCTGCTTCACCTTTTCCCCCTCTTTTGGCCTCAGAGCTGCAATCCAAATAATCCTTTAAAAATGTAAATCACAGGAAGTCACCCTTCTGCTTAAAATCTTCCAACAGTTTTGGGGTGCCTGGCTGGCTAAATCAGAAGAACTTGGGACTCTTCATCCTGAGATCCTGAGTTTGAGTCCCATGCTGGGTGCAGAGATAGCATAAATAAGCTTTAAAAAAATCTTCCAGGTTTTGAACTCAGGCAGTGTGAAAACCCAATTCCTCCTCCTAAGAACCTTCACCTGATAAGGTCCAGTAGCTTCCCTTGCGATAGATTGCTGCCACACTGCCTCCTTGCTGGTTTTCTATGAATCCAGACATCCTCCGGTCCTTTTCCTTTTGATTAAAATCAATCCCCACATCTCTCAGGCTTTTTTTCTCCCCAAAATGTTATTTCTCAAGAAGACTTATCCTGAGCATTCCATCCAAAATTTTGAGGTCCACCCAACACTATCCCTTCCCTCCCCAAAATGTGTCTTTACGATTTATCACCGAACATAATATATATCTTACTTATGTTTATTGCCCATTTCCAAGAAAACTAGAATTTTCGCGTTGACTATTGCGGCATCCCCAGAAGCTGGGAGACTACCTGGCACGTATCAAGCATTCCATCACTTTTTTGAGGACTGAACCAATGATCCATGTGAGGACTCCTGGAATGGCAAAGCTATGATTTAAAAAAAAGAAAAGAAGAAAAGGAAGTGGGGGGGGGAGGGGTTGAAATAACCCAAACCGGTATTAAGTTAGAAGGTAAACTATGTGACTGCATCAAAAATGAAAATATTCTGGAGACGCCAAAACCGGAAAACTATTTTTCAACAAAGAACGCGACAAAACGCGTTTTCTCGGCATTTCTTCCCGAAACGCTCGCACCTGCCAACCAGGTCTTGGCTAATAAATATTCTGCCTTCTAAAAAAAACTATGATTCTGACGTAGCAAATCTGGGACAAAGTCGGTCCAGGGACAAGGCACAGAAATGGAACGGCGCCGGGGCGCCGTGTTCCCCCCACCCCCACCCCAGTTCTCCACCCCCCGACCGTCTATTTAGTGCAAAATCCCTCGGAACCGGGGCCTGCGGAGCCTAAAGACCGAAGGCGATGCGCGCACCCCCACCCGCGACGCCCTGACACCCCGAACGCCTTATTTGGCGGCTGGGTCAGCGTCGCGAGGGTCTGCCACAGAGCCTCGGGGTTCGGGCTAGAGGGAAAGGGGGGCATCGACACTGCCGCACTAAGGAAATCGCCGAGAACCTCAAGTGAGTAGCCTACGTTGCGCGAGGCGGTAGCCAGTACCTCGAGACAGACCTGCACACCTCCGCAGGCTCCAGAAGCAGCGGCGCTCAGGCAGCGCGGCTCCACCACTGGCTTCGGCCACCAGAGCCCCGCCCCCAACTTGCCTCCTCCCGGCCGCAGGACGGTCTCAGATGCTCGCCAGCCGTGGCCCAACCACCCACTCGCGCCCTTTGCTGCCCCTGCCTCTCAAACTCAAATCCTGAGCAACAGAGGGCGGGACAATAGGGGAGGCTGCGCCCAATCCCGGCCGAACTCCGCCCACCAGGCTCGCTGCCGGAACTACATGTCCCATAAGGCCACAGCTTTTCGCCGGAAAGAGGCTCGCAGATGTTGGGGGTGGAGCCCAAAAAGGATTGTGGGAGAAAGGCTCTTTCCTTTCCGTCTGGCGGCAGCCATCAGGTAGGCTGTGTTGGTGGTATTCGCTGTTCCATCCGCCGCTGATCTCCCTTCGCCTCGGCCATCCAGACTCGGGGACCCTGCGTCCTCGGAGCTCCTCCTGCCTCCTGTGCGGCGCGAGTTCGATCAGGATGCGGGGCTGCATGGGCGTGGAGAGGCGGCTCCCGGAATGGGCTGGGGCGATGATGTGATGGCGGCGCGAATTCGAGCGGGGCCTGGAGCGTGAAGGAAAAGGAAGCGTGGGGCTGAGGGATGGAATGCCGGGTCTAGAGAGCCCTATAAGCGAGGCCTGCGGGTTGGTGGAGTAAGGGCTTTTTCGTCAAGAGTTAACCGTAGGGTCAATGGCTACAGCGCTTTCTCCTGTTGTCCCGGGGAGGCCTCTGCAGGCCAGGCTCTCGGGGACGCCACTTGCCGCAGTCCTCAACGCCCCTCAGTGCCCAAGTCTAATACCATTCATTCGTTCGACAGAGATGCACCGAGTGCCTCCATCCGTGCTGCGGTCGCAGAGGTGACCGCTGCTTTCCATGGTCGCAGGAGTGGGGGTTGGGCTGGCTATCCCCTGCGTTTCGTGCAGAGCCATTTTCAGCCTCACTGGTTTCCTTGTGGCGGGTGGGGAACTAAGATGGACGCGATCTTTCATATTTAAAGTGCATGATTTTTTTTTTTTAAGCTCGAAGGTAACCCAAGATGGGCGCTTACAAGTACATCCAGGAACTATGGAGGAAGAAGCAGTCGGATGTAATGCGCTTTCTTCTCAGGGTGCGCTGTTGGCAGTATCGCCAGCTCTCTGCGCTCCACAGGGCCCCCCGCCCAACCCGCCCCGATAAAGCGCGCAGACTGGGGTACAAGGCCAAGCAAGGTGAGCGGTCTCGGCGTTGATGCTTCAGTCAAGTATGTTCTTGGGGAAAGGCTAGAAACGGGTAATTAGATATATGGCCTCAGCGCCTTCCATCACTTAAGCTTTGTTAGAAACTGTCTTCAACTTCGCAAAAAGCACAGGAGTTGTGGATCGGTAAACCCTAAACTCTAAAGTAGCGGGGGTGTCCTCATTACAAATCTGTAGGAGTCTGGACTGAAGCAAAACAACGTAAAGTGGGAGTGAGAATCTTCCTGTGTGATTAACATACTCTGAAGAAACTCTGGAATTGTTCGTTTTTAGAGTAAGTCTTAAATGATATTTATTAGTTTTAATTTCACCGGATACATAGTATTTGGCTTATGGTCCGAAATGTATTTGTTGTTGTAGCGTTTAACGACATGTTACGGAGTCTTCCATCCTGGCTTTTACAAGACCACAGCAAATTTGTTTCTGCAGGTTATGTCATATATCGGATTCGTGTGCGACGCGGTGGCCGCAAACGCCCGGTTCCTAAGGGTGCTACCTATGGCAAGCCTGTCCATCATGGTGTCAACCAGCTAAAGTTTGCCCGAAGCCTTCAGTCTGTTGCAGAGGCAAGTGATTTTTTTAGTAGCAGTTGTATCGGTCACCTAGAGATGGTGGAAGATTTAAGCAGATTTCCTGAATGATAACATGAGCCCCGTTGTGTTTAAAATGGGGTTCGTGGTTTTTTCTGGGTAAAGTGTTGCTGTTAAAGAGTCTTTGCGACTAATCTGTGTGTAATGGAAACTGTTTTATGATTAGTGTGAACCTTGGAACCTTAGCTTTTGAAGGGCGGTAAACTTTGTCTTGAAAAGCACAGCTCCCAGATGGGTAGAAGCTGTGCATTTATTGTTATAGCAAATTTTCTAGGTTGCGGCCCTAAATTGTCTTTCTGGGTTAGTAAATGAAGCTGTGCTCTGTCCCAGAGGTTGACAAACAAGGGCCTTTTGCCTTCTGTAAGCTAAAAATGTTTTGTTTCTCTTTTTAAAAGAAAAGGCAAAGACAACTTAAGACCATTGTGGTCTGCAAAGCCTAAAATAATAGGCTAAATACTAAGGTTCATGTGAAACCTTTCACACGAACTAAGGTTCATGTGAAAGGTTTGCTAATCCCTTGGTTGTGTTAGGAAAAGATAAGGTTTCTAAATTTTGTTAGCCATATGTCAGAGAGAGGGTGATCATAGGCAAGCATTTCAAATCAATCTAAGAATGTTCACATGGGTTATTTTAGTAAGTCTTAGACTTGGGGTGCTAGCCTCTGGGGAGATGCTTAGTAAATACTTTAGTACTTAAGTGAATGGCCTTGGTCTCTGCCTGGTGTGTAAACTAAATCCTTGCTTCCTAATTTCCTACTATAGGAAGGCTGATATTGGGTCTTTTTTCCTATTCTAGGAGAGAGCTGGACGCCACTGTGGGGCTCTGAGAGTCTTGAATTCTTACTGGGTTGGCGAAGATTCCACATACAAATTCTTTGAGGTTATCCTTATTGATCCATTCCATAAAGCTATCAGAAGAAATCCTGACACCCAGTGGATCACCAAACCAGTCCACAAGCACAGGGAGATGCGAGGGCTGACCTCTGCAGGCCGCAAGAGCCGTGGCCTTGGAAAGGGTCACAAGTTCCACCACACTATTGGTGGTTCTCGCCGTGCGGCTTGGAGAAGACGCAATACTCTCCAGCTCCACCGCTACCGTTAATACAAGTAATGTTTGTAAAATTCTTACCTAATAAACAATTTAGGACAGTCATGTCTGCTTAAAAGTGTTCTTTAATTTGTCTGTTAAAATTAGTTGTCTGGAGATTGTTCCGTGAATGCATTGTCAAATTATGAAAGTTAAAGTGCAATAATGTTTGAAGACTGTAAGTGGTGGTGTATCTTGTTTCTAATAAGATAAACACTTGTGTCTTTGCTTTATCTTATTAGGGAGTTTATATGTCAGTGTTTAAAATGCTGTTTGGTATAATAGGTGTAAAATAAATTCTGTAAAAGTGGAATGCAGAGGCTAGCCATGTAGATTTGTTGGTGCATGTAATGAAACCTACAGCTTCATTGGGGTGATGTTATGCTCTGTTGGTTTACTCTCAAATGGCTGTTAGGGGGGTGGTAAGAACAGGGTTTTTAAATTGGACTTTGCTTGGAAATGTGAAGAATATCTTAATCCTTTATCATGATCATTTGCAAAAAATGTTAACTGGGAACCACATTTTTAGGTTGAATCCAATATTCAATTCATGTAACTGCTGCTTCTGAAAGAACAGTTTAAAATGCCACCATTTTCAGGTGAATTGGATAAACGTGTTGCAAGAGGATTCTCTTACAAATGAAAATAAATCCTTAACCAAAGCAAAATTGCCTTGATCTACACAGTGCCATAGAGTATCACATAAAAGGTGGAGGTTCCTGGTTCTGTTCCAAGACGCCATGGGATCTGCAGGATACGGAATTTCTTACAAAGCAGTAATGGTATTTACACCGGTCTTTATTAAAACTGATAGAAATTGAACATTAGGTGAATGAGAAGACTTTACCTTAAGGTTCAATGCTAAGATCGGGAAGTTGGTGGCTATTCTATAACCTTTTAAGTGTGAGGGTAAAAAATTAACGTTGGCTTTGATCAGAATCTTAAAGGGTGTTAAATGGTGTTAGTGACCATTTTGAACCCACTAGCAAAGCACATTGTTGAACTTCTGAAGTCCTATGTCCTCTTGGGTCAACCCACCTTACCCATTCCCACAGGCTACTGAGAATAGTCCTGTAGTTGGGGTCAGTACAAGTTTATACTACAATCTAATCCTTCTGTGTTGTCCACAGTCAATTCTCATCTTTGCCCTAACCTCTCAAAATCATTGCCATTCCATAAACTTGCCAGGCCATCATTTGTGCCCAGCTTGTTAAGCTCTCCACCACATTGTTTCCATTGTCTTCCAATAGATGAGACTTCTGTTTCCCAGGGTGAACTGGAGTGTGTAGGAAATACAGAAGAGGAATTGTCCCAGTTCTAAGTTGGCTGGTTTAATCTAGTTTGATTTCAAAATCTAATTGCTGATTTTCTTTGAACCATTTTTATATTTTTTCCAAGGGTTTTAGGCTGAGATGGTTTCCAGAAAATAGCTTAAAACCTCTTGAGATCTAAATTTCTTTCCACTCGAAAAAAGATCCTAAACCATATATATTTTGTGTGTAGGGGTGGTTCAACTAAAGGAATAAATGTTTATTAAACTAAAACAAATGGAACTGTTATCTTTTGTCACCTAATAGACTCAAAAAGCAAACTAAGTACCCTAGCCTACCAAAAATTGTAATGGCAAAAACCGTCAGTTTGAGAGGAAATAAAATGTACTTAGTCTTGAGAATTTTTTTCTCTTGGTTCTTTGGCCCTTGCATGTGTAAGAAAAACATTTTTAAGAATGATTTTTAAACTCTGGATGCTAATGTGGGAAAGAGAGGGAGGGTTCAGGCAAAACATTGGCTGCACTACAGTTTTCTTTCCATCCTGTACCTAGTGTTATTCCAGTGCTGGAAGCTGAAGTCCTTATAGATTGCTTCCATGATCTTCCTACCCTACACACTACTGAACTCATCGTGTCCTACTGCTGTCCTCATTTGATACTGCAGCTCTACTGTTCTCAGAGAAGCCAAGCTCTCCTAAACGCTTTATGACGAAAAACCTAGATACTAAATGTCACCTTAGAGGCTTTCCCTGACCATCCAACAGGCTGTTACTGTTTGCTTTAATATTTATAAATCAGTGTGATTAAAACATACCCAAATCCATTACAATGTTCTTTATAAATATAGCAATTGGTTTCTCAACCCTGCAAGTGAGGGTACTAATATTAACTCCTTTTTGCTGATGAACACATTGAGATAAGAAGCAACTTGTTCAAGGTTACACAGTGGCAGTCTGAATTCATATCCTCCCAGTAAACTTAACTTTTTAGATAGGTAATATATTGACATGAATAAAAATTCAAAACGTACACTGGGGTCTACAATACAAGTCTCCCTTGCCCCTCAGTTACCCTTCTGGAGGCACTCAATGTGATCACTTCCCTCTGCCCCCACCCCACCCAGCAGGAGGTTCTTTCATATGTGTACAAACAATACATATTTCGTTTTCTACCCAAATGTTAAGATGTTATACATAATGATTTTTTTTTCATTTAGTCTTAGATCTCAGACCCTATTCTACATCACTTCATGAAGAGCTTCCTCATTCTTTTTTTATGACTGCATGGTATTCCATTATATGGATGCATCATAATTTGACGCGGCCCCTTCTACAAAAAATGCTTTGCTTTTACAAAAAATGTTTGCATATATCTTAGTCTACAGGAGAAATTCCTATAAGTGGAATTGGCAGAGAGCTTCTGCTCTGCCAGTCTGATAGGCAAAATGGTGGTGTTATCTAGCTTCATTTTTACACTTCTGAGTGTGGTGGCAGAGGCAACACCATAGTCTTTGTTTTTTCCCTGGACATAACACCCACCCTGTGTTTTCCTGATCCTTTATGCATTTAGGTAAGAACCTTACAACTTATTCTTTCCAGCAGAATGGGAACACAAGTGATCTATTACTTCCTCCAAGGCAGTCAAGGGTTGGTATGCCAGAGGAGACCAATAATCCAAATAGCACAGCTACAAGATGGAGGAAAGCTACCAACCCTTATCAATCTGGACAAGTGTGAAAACTTTGTTTTAAGCTGTTGTCAGTTGTTGGATTTTTTAAAAAAAAAATTTATTTATTACTTAATTTTAAGAGAGAGAGAGTGGGAGCAGGAGAGGGGCAGAGAGGGAGAATCTCAAGCAGGCTCCGTGCTAGCGTCAGTGTAGAGCCCAATGTCGGGTTCAAACTCACAAAACTGTGAGAACATGACCTGAGCCAAAATCAAGAATCAGATGCTCAACTGACTGAGCCACCGAGGCACCCCTTAGTTGTATTCATTCTTATGGCAGCCTAGCCTAGCTTGACCCTAACTAATTTGGTAAGTAAAGTCAAGCTATTATTTATGTCTCATGTTTGCTTTACAGTGGCCTTTCATTATAATCCTTTGTCCATTTTTCTATCAGAATTCGTACACTCTAAGTACCATGCTGTATTAAATGGAGGGTGGCTACTAGCTCATTGCTATTAATCATCATTTCCCTGCTCTTAAGATTCTTAAACCTGGACCACTTTCTTACACTATACACAGAAGTAAACTCAAAATAAATTGGAGACTAAATGTGAGACTTGAAACCATGAAAATAGTGAAGAGAGCACAGGCAGTGATTTATTTGATATTGGCCATAGCAATATTTATCTACTAGGCAAGGGAAACAAAAGCAAAAATTAACTATTGGGACTACATGAGGAAAAAAAAAAAAACTCCGCAGCAAAGGAAACAATCAGCAAAACTAAAAGACAATCTATGGAATGGAAGAAGTTATTTACAAATGATATATCCAATAAGGGGTTAGTATCTAAAATACATAAAGAACTTATACATCTCAACACCAAAACCCCATATTATCCAATTAAAAGTGGGCAGAAGACATGAACAAACATTTCTTCAAAGAAGACATACATGTGGCCAACAGACACATGAAAACATGCTCAACGTTACTCATCATCCCTAAAGTTCTGAAATTCCTAAGGATATTAGTAGGCATATTGTATCAGTCGGGCACACTTGATTAAACTATAGTAACATTCTCCCAACTCTCAGTGGCTTAAAATAATAAAGGTTTATTTCTTGCACATAGTACATGTTCACTGAAGATTCCTCAGGGTCCTCTCTAGGACCCTGTTAGAAACTAGGCTGTGGGGCGCCTGGGTGGCTTAGTCGGTTAAGCGTCCGACTTTCGCTTAGGTCATGATCTCGCGGTTCGTGGGTTAGGGCCCCGCGTCGGGCTCTGTGCTGACTGCCAGCTCAGAGCCTGGAGCCTGTTTCAGTCTGTGACTCCCTCTCTCTCTGACCCTCCCCTGCTCACGCTGTCTCTCTCTCTCCTAGAAATAAATAAAACATTTAAAAAAAAAAATTTAAAAAAAAAAAAAAGAAACTAGGCTGTTAGAGTAGTTATTATAAGGAACATTGCCATGTGCCGATGGCAAAGGGAAACGAGAGCACAGTATAGCATGCTATAGCTTTTAGAGCTTCTGCTCAGAAGGTTTTCTGAAACAAGTCTGAGATCAAAGGGTGGGGAAATTAAATCTTACCATGTGCCCGGAAATACAGGGAGAATCAAATATTTGTGAACAGCTCTAATAACCATCACGTGCACTAATCAATTAGATTTTCTTTTGTCCTTTTGTACAAGTGAGGTATTGTGGAGATTAGCCGGTATATCGCGGGAGCAGAGCAGAAACCACTGTGTCTACCCTTGCAGAGAGGAGTACTTTACAATTGACACTGCTTAAAATTGTCAGCATGTAATGCTAATAAAAACAGATTGGCTTCTACTCAGCTTTTGTTGTTTTTAAACTCTACAGAGAATGCAACCCTCTACTGGGCTGATTGTTTTGGCAAACTAAGGTTATCTACATCGAAGCCTGCAATCAATTTACCTGCCACTTTGTTATGTGACACGGCTTCTTTCCTGGAAACGACACAAACATTTACTGAAAAATACTTTTTCACCATCCAATATGTTAGCCACTATCAACTGCGACTACATTTATTTTTATTTTCTTAATATTTATTTATTCTTGAGAGAGAGAGAGAGAGAGAGAGAGTACGAGCGGAGAAAGGGCAGAGAAGAGAAGGAGACACAGAATCTGAAGCAGGCTCCAGGCTTTTGGCTGTCAGCACAGAGCCTGACAGGGGGCTTGAACTCACAAGCTATGAGATCATGACCTGAGCCAAAGTTGGGCACTCAACCAACTGAGCCACTCAGGCACCCCAGCTGTGACTACATTTAAATTAAATATAATTTAGGGGCACCTGGGTGGCTCATTCAGTTAAGCATTCAACTTTGGCTCAGGTTGTGATCTTGTGGTTTGTGAGTTCGAGCTCTACA